TTGTTGTTGGTTCATGTCTGTCATATTTGTTTTTCGTTAATTGTTTTGTTATAAATTAGGCCGTTAGTTTTCTCAATTGAATTGTTTCATATTTTTTTTGTCAGGGCCTTTTATTACCGACTATACAGTATGGGGTTTTTTGTATGGTTGAAGGCCGTACGGTTGCCTATAATTGCTTACATCCACTTTATTTGAACTTTGGTGGATAGTTGTCTCATTGGCAATCATACCTCATCTCCTTATTTTTATAAAGTAATTTGTAATGACCAGGATTTGTTGTTGACCTGCTTTGGATGGCTCTGAGGTTAGGTAGTGTATAAACACTAATTGCAGGAGTGTAGATGTCTCAATGCTGACTAGTTGAGCTCTCTGGTTGGGAAGTGTTTTTGTACGAATGTATCTCCCACAGTGTGATATATATATATATCCGTTCTTAAACATTCTTGGCTATATAGGGCCAGTAGAATCTGTTTCTCAACAGTGACAATGTACGGTGCTTTCCAGGGTGTCTCATTTCGTGATGTAGTTGTGATAACATGTGCTGCTGGAAGTACTAGCTGTACCAAGTCAGGAATATGACAGTTGTTTTCCATTCGTTCTGAATGTGAGATACCAGGGTGCTGTCAGCTTGCTAATCTGTAAAATCTTTCTCCTAAGTTTTTCTTGAATGAGGCCATGGAGTATGATAGAATATTGGTTTCTGGTAAAAGTGTTACCTGTTGGTTGTATCGACTGTCTGGTGTAACTGGCAGGATAGATGATTGTGTCTGGTGATATACTGGTATTTGTAGTAGATCTGCTTCTATAAAACCTAAATCATCATCACATTCAATGTACAATATTGTTCCAATGTTGTTTAATGGTGTTGTTAAATGTTACCGATAGAAAGATTCGCTGATAGTTGAAACGGTGGAACCATTATCAAGTAGTGCAGGTGTTAATAAGCCTTCAATACAAACTTCAGTTTCCGTTGGTTTACCAAATAGTCATCGTGGTACTTTCGCATGACTGGTTTTAGGAACACTTCTCCTACATAAGCCTATAGATATCCCTTCTGCATAGACTTCTTAACGTTTAAATTCTTCCTGTTGAGGTCCATTCTAACGGCCAAACCTCTTCTATAATGTCTTGTTTGTTCACATCTCCAACAGGAAGGTTCATCTGATTTTGGTAATAAATACATTGGCTTTGTTGTTGTTTTCTTCCAAAACTTCCACCTTTACCTCTCTGTTGTAGTTCTTGCCATCCTGGTTGCTGGTGTTGTTGCCATGGTTTTGGTTGCCATGTAGTTTGTTGCCATGAAGTAGATTTTTATTGCCAAGGAGGTTGATGGTGCACAAACTTTTTTCATAACTGTCCATTCTGGTTGTCATCTACTTATTCATTCCTGTGATTTCCAAGCATTAGAAAGCCCAATGGCTACTTAACTGGTTTGGGACTTGGAAGAATTGGTTTTGTCTTTTTGTTGCCTTTTATAGCGTACTATGCGGTATGGGTTTTTGCTCATTGCTGAAGGCCGTACGGTGACCTATAGTTGTTAACTTCTATGTCATTTGTTCTCATTGTCATTCATACCCACAGCTTCTTATTTTAATACTTCACAACAAGAGTTCACGAGATAAAAGATGTGTCATTGTAACCGTTATTTCGTATGATTAGCACCAGACTACCACAAAAAAAAAACTATAAATCTTCACCGTTTTAAGGAAATTTGTGAAGTTATCTTTAGAGAATAAGAATGATTGTTTTGCACAACACCCAATAGCAAATATGTCATGCATGTTCATGAGAGTATAGCTTAAAAAGCGTGTAGTTTACTTCTAGACATCATCCCATCAAACACTTTCTGGTTGCATTCTTTACTTTACAATTAAAAAGGTTTGGCATGAATATCGGTGAATATTATCTCTCGAAGAATATATATTGCACTCGCAATATAAAAATTTACTTTGGACAATATTCACCAATGTTCATGCAATAAGCCTGTATTATTTTACGTTCTTCTTTCTTTTTGTTATTTAAATTAAGCGACATTTAAAACAAAGGGGGTTAAATATCACATCACAAGTTTCATTGATTTATGTCCAATATACCCCCAAAGGTGAACTTGAGCGGACAAATATGGTGACAAGTACTTCCTCCCTCCGTCAATAAAACCAAAGACGTGGTGGAAGCGGGGTTGAGGTATGACTGTGTGGGATGTATAAATACGCAACCGCGTCCGGTCTGAATGGGGACGTTGCATCTCATGCCTCGTGTAGTTAAGAGTGTCACACTCTCTTAATGTTTAAGTTCCATTTCAACAACTCTTTGAGGGATCCGTAAGTGAGCTGTTGCATTAGACAAAATGTTCTGCTCATTTCAACATGCCCTCATTTACCAATATCATTCCAAATTTTTAAAGTTGCCGCCTTCATTTATCATCCCTGTCGACTAGCTTTGCAAAATTTACCTATGTAATTTTTTCATTAAACCTCTTTTTATCCTCAATATTCATGGATTTGCCGCTAGGAATAAAAACTATGGGTCAATCAATCCTCATAAAAATGATGTGAATGACAGATCTGTGTTCAATTTTTTTAATTCATTTACATTTTGTTTAGACTCATAGCAACTGTTAACTTGACATATGATATTGTCATGTGTTTATTGTTAAAGCCCGTACGGTGATTTCTTAATACCTTTAATGTTTTGATTGGTTGTTATCTCATTGACTCAAGACTCAACACAACCTTTTATTCGTAGTTATATAATGAATTAGTATTATATTCAAACGATATTCATTATTTTATCGGGTGCCAAGTTTTGAAAACATTAGAATTTACCAATAGGGCAAGCAAGTCAAATATGACAGCACCAAGGTAAACAGAAAATTCCAAAACACAACAAAGTTATATAAAGATTGAACAACCGGAACCCTACGTAAACGGGTAATGTCAGAAGGTTATTACTCAAAATGTAACACGCAACATATCATATTAAAATCTGATGATAATGGGGAAAAAAGGATATGATGTATCAATTCATAACACAAAATCACTACGCGCATATGAATGCAAATCCAAGAGCAAAGGAATAGCACTTTTATTACTGTGCAAAATGCACAACCTCAGCGCAAGTTGAAGAAGGCCCACAGCACCGGTTTTTAACAAACTATCAGCAAATACAATAGTTATATAAAAATAAGAAGATGTGGTATGATTGCCAATGAGACAACTCTCCACAAGTGACCAAATGACACAGAAATTAACAACTATAGGTCACCGTACGGCATTCAACCATGAGAAAAACCGCAAAGTCAGCTATATAAGTCATTTTAATGATAAAATAGCATGCGAAAGTGGATTGGTAGATTGTTCTTGTCATACCCTAAGATATATAAAACTATGGCACATGTTTATTTTATAATCCTGGTCCATTATCAAATGCGAGGTTAGATAGACAACGCCATAATTTATAAAGATAAATTACATATTTAAAACCAACATTGTTGAAAACTATTGCAAAGGCAACACCAACCCTACTGAGAATAGCTTCACACGCACTTATGATAAAAAGTTGCTGGCTTACTGGTGTTGCCCGTCAACTAAGTCATAATGATACCAGTAAAACTTTCAAATAAGTTACTTCAGCTTTACAATTAAGAACTCTTGGTTCAGTATTTCTTACACGCAGCAAGAATAAATAAAAACATACTTATCTTGGAGGGTTTTTATATTCATTTTTCGTTAATTGTTTTATCATAAACAAGGTCGTTATTTTTCTCGTTTGAATTATTTTACATTTTGTCATGTCGGGGCCTTTTATAGCTTTATATACGGAATGGGTTTGCTCATTTGTAAAGACCTTATGGTGACCAAAGTTGCTTACATCTACAAGATTTGGACTCTGGTGTATAGTTTTCGCATCGGTAATAATACAACTTCTCCTATTCTTTATATTAGGGTCTACCATTTGATTTTTATGGGGGGGCTAGGATGAAAAACTTTGTCCTGTTTTTTTTTTTAGTTGTAATCTCTGTCCTGCCTTTTTATTTTTTACTCTATTCGGTCCTGCCTTTTTTTTACTGGTTTATCCTGAATTTTTTTACACAAATTATCATCCTGCCTTTTTTTTTACCAAGTTGATCATCCTGGCTTTTTTTTACTAAAAACTCCTGTCCTGCCTATTTTTTTCAAATTTCATCCTAGCCCCCCATAAAAATCAAATGGTAGCTCCCTTATAGGAAATACAAGGTAAAAAAGGGAGATAATTGAGTTCAAACTATTATAATATAAAAAATACGGAGCTGTGGCCATGACAAAACGATCAACCAGGCAGCTATTTTATAGCTAATTACATATGACAAATAAACAGAATGCCGATTATCCGTTGAAAAAAAAACCAAAACAGAACAGGTTTCTGGTGGAGAGTTTTTTCATTGGCAATCATACCACATCTTCTTATTTTCATATTTGTTATTGAGTGTGTCTTGTGATACTTAGGTTATTGAAGATTGGTGTTGAATGAATGTCCTTAGACCGAATCAGTTTAAATACAAATCTGTTAGAACTATCTACTGACTTTATCTCATTCGAGTAGAGTGTCTACGTTTTCTCTTTTTCGATTCAATTTTTCAACTTCTCGAATACCTACACTCTGCTATATGCAAAAACTAATTGAATTTATGTTATAAAAATATTTTACACGTGGAAACTTAAAAGGGGCAATCTGATTGGAATTGCATCAAAGGTTTAAAAAATCGAGTTGTCTAAAATCAATCAATGAATAAGGAGCACTGATATAAAAACTCACCATGCTGTTTTCATTGTTATTTTTATTATTAAGGTTTGTTTATAATCAATTTATAAGTAAAATTTTCTGAGAACTGTCAATACGGATATCATATTTCAACATGTAACTGATCTAGTCAGTTGCGTGACACTTATTTGTTGTCTATTGCAACAGATATTAATAAATGGCATCAGATTACTTTAAAAAATATATTACATAAATGCTTGTGTGTAGATTTCAATTTGAGCGAAATAATGATGAAAATATTTTTGATAAGTTTATTATTTTGTTTAACGTCTGGGTGCAGGATAACAATAGATGGTGCAAAATATAATCCAGCTGCTTGCAATGATAATTTCAAAAGACTGGAATATAAGATTAACCAAATGACGGAAACTCTGTCAGCAAAGATTGGGCGTATACAACAAGTAAACAAGTGTGATTTCCAAGGTAAGACTTTACTACTAGGAATAAGGACTTTTTCTTTGGATAGACGTAAATATCAACATCTACCACAACGTCCTTTTCGCTTTGCAGTGTTTAATACAGTGCAGTTGAAATCAGTTTTTCACTTTCTTTTGTTTAAAAATAATAAGGTATATATCCTATATCACCTCTTCAATATCGCTGGAACATTTCAAAAACAAAGTAAGTAACGGTAATTATCTAAAATGGTTCTAATCTTACCTGTTCAATATAAATGGCGAAAATGAAAATTTATTTGTTGGCGGAGATGAAAAATTTCTTTTGGCGCAAATGAAACCGTTAATATTTATAACAAAAAAAAGAAGATTTGAAACAGAACGTTAGGAAATACTTAATCGTCATAAGAAATAATATGAAAATATCTTTAATTTGATCATTAATCTAAACACGAACGGAACTTGCCATAACATTTGATGAGAACAAAACTTAAATATATTTACTCAAGATCAAAGGGAGATAAATAAATCGTAATTAATTACAAAGGAGAGAGGAACATGTTTTACCATCGTAGAAATGTATGTGCTGTATAGTTTCCTTGTGAAAAGCAAACACATGATTTTCTTGATATTGAGTCAGAATATAAAAATGTTATGAAATCATTCTAATATATCATTTGTAAATTTAAATTCTGGGCAACTGAAATTAAAATGGCACACAATTTTCACTACCGTGACGTCTAATGCAGAGCAGCGACTATTGTCATATGATGCATCATAAAAGATATAGTTTCTTTTCTTATAAACTTTTGTTATGCTCTATAATTATATATTATTTAAAATGTTGCTTGTTTAGTTAATTGGCGGAACTTTGTGCATATACAGCCAATTGAGAGAAATATAGATTTTGGCAAATAGATGGTACAATTGCGTGGAATTCAAAGCTGTTTTTTTTTTGTTTGATCAAAATCATATATAAGTATGATAATCATTAATTCAGTAGTTAATATGGTTTGAAAAATATAGTTATGTCAATTGAATATTTGACAACAGGTGTTTCAAGTAGTCCAGATTATCTACATTGTGCAACTTCTTCTTACTTTCGTATATAATCTGAAGATTTGCAGCCATTTGTCTTTAATGTATTGGCCCAAATGTGTTGACCTGAAAGATCAATTTCATAAATTTACTTGCGTTTTGCTATAAGTGCACGTCAATATTGCTTTTTTTGTTCGTAACTAAAATATGAAAATAGCATATTATTTTTCTATATGACTTTTGTTTTGTTTTGTTAGATTGCTGTCTCATGAAATTTTACCAAATATTTCCCTTTATTGATATTGTTGATGCTTTGAATTTAAGTTTTCCTGTCTACCCTAAACAATTAAACACCATTAATTGGTGTAATGTAAGGTCTCGTTCTTATTTACTATTGGTTCTATAATTTATCATATTCAACATCACGAAAAAAAAAATTCTTTTTTTATTTTCTTGCGCTGTTGTTGTTTGTTTACTAGATTATAATGTACGAAAAAAACAATGAAATGGTAGTCTGTAGAAAATCCTCATAAAATGTAATTGTACGACAAAATGTGTTTACCACTTGAAACTGTAAATGCAAGTTATATAATATATGAAATAGACTCTTTTTTTCAAGACTGACATTCGAACATCCATGATCAACCCTGTAAAAAAAATATCATCATAGATACCAGAATTAAAAATTTGTAAGCCAGACGCGCGTTTCGTCTACATAAAACTCATCAGTGACGCTCGAATTAAAAAAGTTTAAAAGGCCAAAAAAAGTACGAAGTTGAAAAGCATCGAGGACCCAAAATTCCAAAAGGTTCTACCAAATCAATGCAAATACAACTAAAGTAATCTATTCCTGGGTTAGAAAATCCTTAGTATTCGAAAATTCAAAGTTTTATAAACAGTTAATTTTATATCAACTGATCGTTGGTTATTTTACAAACAGGCATAAGTATTTCATGCATATTTAGAACCAGATGGCAGAATATGAAAAACAGATAAACCAAATGAAAACTGGTTGCTTCTAAATAAGAAGAGCGTTTAATGGACATTGTAAGAAATTAAGCTTAACAACATATACATGTACATTCGATCCAATCCGGGTACTTGTTGCTTGTGTGTTTTGACGCAAAGATACAACAAAATTGACTTGGGTTTGACGTGTTTGTCACAAATAGCAGATTTGACAGCGTATATATATATATATATATATACAAGTCTAAATTGAAAACAACGTTCAAACCTATGATTGCGTTGGATAAAAACCGCAATTTTTATACTTGTGCATACAAAACAAATTTCTTGTTAGAGGGGTCTGAATACAGCACAAACTACATTTTCCAAAAATCCAAAAAAGTGAAAAAGTATATTTTAACAAAACACATTTGACTAACAGGTCGAACAACAAATGTTTTTAAACCCTTCTGAGAGCCATTGGCGATTGCCAAATAAACTGATCACCAATGTAATATATATATCATACCTAGACAAACTGAAACCCGTGATATGAGCAATAGTCTAACCAACTGAACATAAGAAATCCAGATTCTCATTCTCAAACTGAAATGAGTGCACTTCTTTGTTCTTTCGTCCTGAAAATATTTAATATTTTGCAGGCTGTAAGACATCAAAATGTCCTATTGAAGATGTTGCATATAAAAAAACAAGCCAACAAAGCTCCACGTATTCTAGTATTTGTCTAGCTAGACATGGAAACGACGGAAATAAGAAAACTTTCACTGCTACCAAGCAAGAATGGTTACCATACTGGTGGGTAGACCTTGGACATGTATATGACATAAAACGAATTGAGATCTTTAACAGATTTGATGGTGCAGATGAGTAGTTAACATGTATACCATGTAATATAAATGCATCAGTCATGTGTACCAATCTAACAGCGTAAAAATAGTCATGTGCTGACGATATAGTCGTACATGTGAACATAAGATAATTATGCTTACATGTTGTCGTTGGGTTTAAATAATAATAGGTTGCAGAATTTTGTTCATTCCTGTGGAAAAACAAATATTATAACTATAGAATATGCAAACAAACTAATTTTTGCAAGCGATTAATTTACGAAACTTTCGGTAGCATATAAATAAACATAAAATATATGATTATAACCAAGTCTAAATTGAAAACAACGTTCAAACCTATATATATATATATATATATATATATATATATATATACAAGTCTAAATTGAAAACAACGTTCAAACCTATATATATATATATATATATCAACAAAATTACAAAATTGCGGAAATGTATCTCTGCGAATTCGAAGTCTACTACAAAGTGGATTCGCGAAAAAACGTTGGTTGTTAGAACATTTACAAAAAATGAAAAATTTCAGAAAAGTGCTTCCATTTCATTACGACATTCATAACAACTAAAACGCAGAGAAAATCATCAAGACCTGACCATGCAAGGTTCTACTTCTGCAATATATCAAATATGCTCCCATTGCATGTCTCATTTCGTCAGGCATGACAACTAAGCATCCAAATTTTTATCTGAGCTGATCTTCAATGTGACTACCTTTGTTCCACTGATTGATCAAAAATTGGTGGTTTGGAAAAGAAAAAAACAGCAGCACATTCTAATGGGCATGTTTCTGTAGTCAGAAACCACCTCGATTGATGTCTTGTTTCTTAAATATCTATTTGAATACTGTATACGTTGTTCTTTTGTAATTTTAAGAAAAAGAACGATATCACCCAAAACGGCAAGCTATTCCGACAATGACACAACCTTAACGTTTCTACGTATTAAGGCTTTTGGCTAGTAGAGAAGGAACAGATTTGTTTTGATCGTCTTTGGTAATTTTCAAATTGATTACTTAAGTGCCACATATCAAATTAAAATGCCATCTTTCAATTTGGTTTGTATCCTAATCGTATGAAATAGTGAGGTAAAGTTTTAGTTCGATGTTAAAATATCGTGAAACCTATAGCTTAATCATATTGTTGATTTATTTTCCGTTTTAGATTTCATTAATATAAAAGAAGTTATATTGACAGGAATATTACAATTGTACTTTTTATTTAAATTAGGCGAACGGCTTCATGACCTTGACATCACTATTGGACCAACTTTGAATGATATGGCATTGTGTATACACTACAAAGGTCCTGGAAAGACAAACGAGCACCTTATATTTCGTTGCCACCGAAAATTGAGAGGCCGATTTGTTAAATTGAGCATCAAAGGAAGGGAATACCTTCAAATGTCTGAAGTAAAAGTGTATGCACCCCTAATAAACTGTTAAATTCGAAATAAAGATTAAATAGAAACTGTCAGTTGACTTTTAATGTTTTTTTTGTATAAACTCTTTTGTTTACAGGCATAATTTAATGATATTCAAACTGTATTATGGCATTCAATATTGCAACTAGAAAAGTAATGTCAATGTTTTTCTTCAGTTAAATATTTGTGTATGCTTATATAGCCTCTATGTTATTTGTTTGCGAATTTTTGAACTAGGTTATATTTTACCACAACTTTACAAGATAGAACCAATAACTCTAATTTGAGTGACCATATTTTTTTCCTATTGAATTTGAAACAAAGCATACCACAGATAATAAGCCTGCTTCATATCTAGACTTAGGTCTAGAAATTGAGAACAAAACTTTACGAAAAAAAGGACGATTTTAATTTTGCTTTTGTGCACTTTCCATTTCTGTGTAGCAACATCACATCAGCGCATATTGAGTATACATATTCCATTTCAAACTATTTGACAATGTTTGCGTTCCTTTTCCTAATTTTGTTGATAGAGGGTTGGTGCTTATAATATAGGAATGTTTCAAATGTTAGAATTGGAGTCATCTCTTCGAATATTTTACGAACGCCATCACGATTTGGTTGACCGTTATAGAATATCTATATCACAGATGACCATGGAAATGTTCCGCTTGTGGCTCCAATTCCTTCCTTTTTTTCCCTTAAATGTGACAACACCAAAGTCAATTTATCATGAACGTTTTACTTGGAACACGAACCACTTACCCATCCGGAGCACCTGATACCATCCCAATGCTTGATGGTACTCGTGTTTCTCAATCCTTAGTTTTCTTTGTAGTGTTTTGTGAACTGTCGTTCGTCTTTTATCACTGTTTATTTTGGCCATTGTACTGTATGTTTTTATTTGACATGATGTTTTGTTTTTAATGCTCACTTCGTATCCCCTCTTTTCCAGTTGAGGTGTACATATACCATATAGGAGTCATTCAAACATTCTTCTGCCATTGATCTAGTTAGTAGATTGCATATAGTGTGATATGTTATGTATTTGAATTGTTTCTAGATAAATGCTTTTTTGTTCTGTCCTCGGAACAATTTAAAAAGTTTTTCAAAATCTTTCGTACAGTAAACTTGAACAGAGATATGTGATGTGAAAATAGAATGTGGCATGATTGCCAATGAGATGAGACAACTCTCCACCAGAGATCAAATGACGTAGGAGTTATCCACTATAGGTCACAGTACAGCCTTCAACAATGAACCAAACCCATACCCCATAGTCAGCTATCATTTTCTTTATGGAACCCTTACTACAATCACTGTTTGGATTCCAACGGTGAAGATTTCCTCTCCGAAGGTATCACCAGTTCAATAGTCAGCACTTCTGTGTTGACATGAAATATAATTGATATTGCCATATCAATAAAACCTGTTTAGAAAAATTCAACCATGGTGTCCCGTGGTAGCGTTTGTGTGTTGAATCGCACAGTTTTGGGTTTATTCCGATCTCCTGTTTAATCGTAGATTTTAAATTGATATCTTCTGCCTCCCCTCTAAGCAAACAAATTTAAGTAGTGAATGATAATGTGTTCGAATGGTGACATTTCTTTATCCGGAGAGCTAGCACGTTTAAAATCTATGTCAACGTATCGCTCTAGTACAAAGCATATTATATTAATATGCATTAACATTCTAGCGTTCTGAGTAACAAAATTTGCATCAATCTGTCAGTTAGGCTTCGTATTCATAAAGAAAGAACATTTAATGACTTCAAAGTAAATAAAAACACAACACAGGACAGACTGAGGTCAGAGGATTGGGTTAAACGCTGTTCATATGACACACTTTACAGCTAGATCATTTCATTCAAACGCGATTATATAGGTCGGTATAAGTAATACTGCCTATCTCGGGTAACCTTCCACATACCTGACCCGAACGACGTCACTGTTTAGTTTGCAATTGTGGATACAAATTGTTGACAGGTCAGACGGATTAAAAGAACTAACGTACAAAACCAAAATTCTGTATTCCTCTTTGAAGGATTTGAATATAAATAAAAACCGTGCTAGCTTTTAGGAAAAATGACTGAAGTGGATGTAGGCTAGATGCAACATTAAGGGGATGACCATATGATTTCCGGAGGCAGAAGATTTTGATAGGCAGGCGTATCCCGTTTTTTTTTACCAGGAATAGATTACTTTAGCTGTATTTTACAAAACCTTTCAGAATTTTTGGTCCTTAGTGCTCATCAACTTTGTATTTTAATTGGCTTTTGTAGACCAAACGCCCATTTGGCTTACAACCTTTTAGGCCTGATATATATGATGAGTTTAGTTACATCACCACATTGGTGAGCAAGGGACTGAGAATAACGGAAAGGGTATAAAACTTAACTTATAAGTAATTGTGTAATACCAAAATAATATAAATATACATAAATGAAATTTTTACCTGTGTTTACCCGTAAAATGAATGCGCGCAAATGTAATGATTTTACGTGCAACTGTAATGGTAATGCGCGCAAATGTAATGATTTTACGTGCAACTGTAATGGTAATGCGCGCAAATGTAATGATTTTAGGTGCAACTGTAATGGTAATGCGCGCAAATATAATGATTTAACGTGCAACTGTAATGGTAATGCGTGCAAATGTAATGAATTTACGTGCAACTGTAATGGTAATGCGCGCAAATGTAATGATTTTACGTGCAACTGTAATGGCAATGCGCGCAAATGTAATGATTTGACGTGCAACTGTTATAATAATTCAAACAAATGTGATTAACCGTTATGTGCTACTATATCCACATTACAAAAGTGATTTCGGATAGAATGATTGAAAAATTCAAGCTTCTTCCATAATGAAAAGTTAGAACTATTTGTCTATTTGAATATTGAAAAAGAAAATATATAATATTTACATAAGATAAGAAGATGTGGTATGAGTGCCAATGGGACAACTATCCCTCCAAGTCTCAATGTGTAAAAAGTAAACAATTAGAGGTCAAAGTACGGCCTTCAACACGGAGCATTGGCTCACACTCCGAACAGCAAGCTATAAAGGGCCCCAAAAGGTGCTTTGAAATGCAGCGGGTTTTAACGTTTTAACAGGCGCCAACCTTCACCCTAACCTGAAACACATTACAGCATAAAAAGACACACAATAAAATATCAATTGAAATTGCATAACTGGATCAAAAAGACAATACACAAAAACAAGTAAATATACACTGAACGAATAAGTTTGATCTATGACACAATATAAATAAAAAAGATGTTTCAATGTCAAAAAGACAACTTTAACCTAGAACAAAATGGCGTCAAATAAAGTAACGTACACAGGTAAATTTAAATATAATAATTTTGTTGTTAGGAGTACAGAAACAATTTTTACAAAATAAATTTGTTATTCATAGTACGAGTACAGAAGGGAAAATTTTTTCGTCATACTAAATACTTATCAAAGGTGGTACATATTAAAAATAGTAAGACGAGATATACCACAAAATAAGTAAACATTGAATAACAGAAATGGATTACAAATTGTGTCAACAGGTCAAATTAACACGAAGGTAAGATTTGAGAGTACTCGCAGTTACTGAAAGCTTGTTAAAAGCCAAAATCAATTAATAATAAAAAATCATGCATCAGAGACTAAAATCAATTAAAACACATCCCAGGCAGGGATTTAGTGTTTTAACGCCATGGACAGTATAAGAAGACATGACTTGTGCAATGCCAAAATCAAAGTAACGACAATTTCTAAATAGAAAATAAACGTGGATGTGTATATATACATCCCAAAAAAACTTTCGAAAAGAATACAAATTTAGTTATGTTTTAATTTGTTGATGACAAAATCGATGTTAGTGCCAATGAAAACAATATTCAAAGATCTTATTACAACATTAATAAGATAACCTTTACTGATAAGTTTGTTTAAAGGTTCGATAAGTTACACGGATCACTTAGTGATTTCCGCGTTTTTAGTACAATATTACCTTAAATTTAGGATGTGAAATTCCATTTTTAAAAATTTTTCTACAGGTACAGCCACATTTACTAATCAAATCTTTGTATCTATGAAAGAATTTAGTAAATGTTTTAACTAATTTATGGTAACGAAATCCCTGACTTAATAATTAAAATTTTTTTACCAATGATACATTGATTACGTTCGTTAAAATCTATGACATCACTACACACACGGACATAACGGACGAGTTGGGATATATAAACACCGTATGATGGAGTCAAAGGAACAAGGCCGTCTAAAAATGGAAAATTAACAATAGGGAATGAAATATCGTCTCTTTCGTCTTAAATTTGTGTATGGAGTTTTTCAGATTTAAAAAAAATATTTTTCGACTTCACACTGATTATTTTTATTCAACGTGAAGACTGATCAAAGGGGTTTGTTATTCTAAGTATTAGCACATATTTAGAACTCCTCGTCCAATAAAATTGCTCGAATTTGCCTTCCAAGTTTCGTAGTACATACCTTTCCCCGTGTACTTAGTAACTATGCATGAATGACCAAAAGGGTAAAATTAAATTGTATTGTAATATAATAAAAGGTGCCACTCCTTATTTTGGAATAACATATTGCGTCCCAAATCAACAAAGGTATTTGTAATTAGTTTTCACATTGCTTTTTATACATCCTGCTATTAAATTCTTAATAAAGCATATGGTTCTTAATGCTTTGACTAAAGTACAAGGTAATCTTAAAGTTGTAGTATTCATCAAAAATTATGTACATGAAATCATCTAATGTGAAATTCAATCTATAAGATTATGATGATGATGGCGATCACGTTTTAAAAATTCCTAAGGAACTTGACCCTTTCATAATTAATTGAAAAACCGTGATAATGTCTGATGATGTGCCAACTGTCAGATGTTACGAGTGATTTGCCATCAACAAAATATTATCAAAATAACAGAAGACAATAAAGTACTGTTAAGTTCATGGCTTGAAACAAACACACGAACAGTTGAAGAACTCGCTTTTATGGTAAACTCTTCAATTAATAAGTATTAAATAAA